ATTATAACTTATTAATGAAAGCAATGATTATTATAACTTATTAATGAAAGCAATGATTATTATAACTTATTAATGAAAGCAATGATTATTATAACTTATTAGTGAAAGCAATGATTATTTGATTTTCCCCTTTCACATTTTTAGATTGCTTTGGTCTTTTTGTTATGGCAATTTTTGGTGGTTTGATTGTATGTGTCAGTTTTTAGTGGTTGGATTGTATGTGTATTTTTGTCCATTTTATTTGGTATATAAAATTGTTTTTGTAAATTGGAAGAAACTAGAAATATTGTAAAAGTTTTATGATATTTATTTTCTGTGTAATAAAGATATCTTATGGGCTGAGTTGGATCAAGATTTGAGTTAATATAGATGTTATCCTACTTCCTTTATTAGAGATTAGTTTGTATCCCTCTCTGGATCAGTTTTAACTTCCTCTAAAGTCGAATATTGTTTTGTAAGTTTTTATCCCTCTCTGTATCAGTTTTAACTTCCTCTAAAGGCTAATATTGTTTTGTAAGTTTTTATCCCTCTCTGTACGAGTTTTAACTTCCTTGAAAGTCTAATATTGTTTTGTAAGTTTTTCTCCCTTCTTGGATCAGTTTTAACTTCCTTTGAAGTCTAATATTGTTTTGTAAGTTTTTATCCCTCTCTGTATCAGTTTTAACTTCCTCTAAAGTCTAATATTGTTTTGTAAGTTTTTATCCCTTTCTGTATCAGTTTTAATTTCCTCTGGAGTTTAGTATTAGTTTGTAAGTTTTAACTTCCTCTAGAGTTTAGTATTGTTTTGTAAGTTTTCATCCCACTCTGTATCAGTTATAAATTTCTGTAAAATGAGCTATTTGTAATGACTATACATGTGTATGTAACATCTACATGTAGGCTATAAAGCTCAAACAAATCTGTTGAAGGTAGGTGTGGCAGCTGTCAGGGGTTGATAAAATGTATTATTTGTTTTAACTGTATTCATTCAGAGTATTATTGAAGATACAGAGTGTCAAATTAGAGAATGTTCATAGCTTGTTGGTCACATGACAATACATCTGAAGTTTTAAGTAGGTTTTTAAATATTTATTTTGAAATATAGGACTTAAAACTTGGATAAAATAAAACTTTGAAACATAACACACATTATAATAATTTCATTCACATACATAGATATTAAAGGTGTTTAATTACATTTTGAATGTGATGCAGTGACTTGCACAGAAAAGTATTTAAAGGGGCTCCCATTGTGAAAGGGATAGAGTCTAGTATTGTTTTGTAAGTTTGCATCTCACTCATGATCAGTTTTAACTTGTTAATTATTATTGTCTAGTATTGTTATGTTTAACAATAACTTTGTTAAAAATGTAAGTTGTGATAAATGTGTTACATGGTACAGGAAGGGAGAAGCAGTTTTCAAGTCAGACAATATATCTACCATCTCAATTTTGAAAGATTTCCTCACCAAAGAAGCAACTAAAAGAAAAATTCGTCTTGAGATTTCATGTGGTAAGTTAAAGTTCACAATATGTGTGGTGAAGAAGATAAAATGTAACATATGAAACATTGTGCAACCACACATTTAAACTAATTTTTTTGTTAGCTTTACACGTTGATATGTTAGTTAAAACTTTAAAAACAATTACATCGTGAGACTGATGTGTAAAATCTTGACAACTCCAATAATGAAAGTTTGACAGCTCCAACAGTGTAAAAGTTTGACAGCTCCAACAGCGTAAAAGTTTGACAGCTCCAACAGCGTAAAAGTTTGACAGCTCCAACAGCGTAAAAGTTTGACAGATCCAACAGCGTAAAAGTTTGACAGCTCCAACAGCGTAAAAGTTTGACAGATCCAACAGCGTAAAAGTTTGACAGCTCCAACAGTGTAAAAGTTTGACAACAGTGTTTGTTCTTACTCTAATGTTTACATAACATTGTTATTGTATTTTGTAATCACACTTGCACATTCCTCATCTATTTATAATTGGTGGAATGAAACTATTATTTCTGTTTCAGATATAGATGACAGTAGTATTCCACATACTTTAAATCTGATTCATCCCAAGCTGGAAGAACAATTACTACTAGCCAAGAAAGTACAGCTGATTGAAGCCTTGAAGGTTTGTGGAGAAAGTAATATACAATCTAGTTTATAATTGGAGCATCCACACTGCATTATGTGTAACTGATGTCTGCAATGTTTCGTAGACTGTACTATATCTGTTACATTTGTTTATGTGTGTTACTTACCTCTGCAGTGTTAGTTAGACCATATTATGTGTAACTGATGTCTGCAATGTTTCGTAGACTGTGGTATATCTGTTATATTTGTTTGTGTGTTACTTACCTCTGCAGTGTTAGTTAGACCATATTATGTGTAACTGATGTCTGCAATGTTTCGTAGACTGTACTATATCTGTTATATTTGTTTATGTATGTTACTTACCTCTGCAGTGTTAGTTAGATCATATTATGTGTAACTGATGTCTGCAATGTTTCTAGACTGTACTATATCTGTTATATTTGTTTATGTATGTTACTTACCTCTGCAGTGTTAGTTAGACCATATTATGTGTAACTGATGTCTGCAATGTTTCGTAGACTGTACTATATCTGTTATATTTGTTTATGTATGTTACTTACCTCTCCAGTGTTAGTTAGACCATATTAT